AAGAGGACCAGGGGAGTGCGCGGCGTGAGGGAGGGAAGGAGGGATAGATGGAGAGGAGGGCAGCGCCACCTTGGCCGTGCCGCACCCCCCGTGCTTGCTGCGATGCATCCGGTTGCTGCCTGATGCAGAGCACTCTCCAGTTGGTCTGGCGGCATCATTGCACCCCTTGTATCACTCACATGTGTGTACAGCTTCTCCACACCGCTGAAGCCAGTCGCCCGCTCGTGGTGCTCCTTGATCACTCGGGGCAGCTCCTCGAGCGGCACCACGGGGCACCACCGCCACTCTCCGCTGCGCTTGACGCAGCGGCACAGGATGTCCTGACCGCCAGCGCCCTTCAGCACCTGGAAAAACTGCAGCACCTTCTTGCTGTAGTTCTTGGCGCCGCCCTGCACTGCCGCCCCCCCTCCCGCACCCCGCCGCCGCCGGCCTGAGGGCGCCTGCTCGTCGCCCTGCTTGATCCGGATGATGCCCTCTACATCTGACTTAGTGAGAAACACATTCTTGGCGCCGTTTTGGCGCCGTTCTAAGGCATAAAGGATGACAGGTTGGTTCATAATTTTAAGTTTGCGTCAGCTGCGGGGTGCGGGAGGGGAGAAATAGAAGCCTTAGAGACTCTGAAAGGCGAAGGAAAGGGAGGGATCGCGGGAGAGAGCGTGCCTGATGAGCCAGACGAATCGGGGGAGGTGCCACATCAGCGGGCAACACATGCATGCATTGCCGCCGCGCCTTCCACCCAGCGCCATCTCAGATTGGGGGATGGCGGCTGTTCACGCATCCATCAATTGCCTTGGGCTCCCATACCCTTGCCGAGTCTCAATTTGGCATCTGGCCCTCCGCATTTCCCTTGCCTGACGAGCCCCAACCTTGTCCAGCCATTGGCACCCACGCAGCATGCAAGCGAGGGCCTGCAGCTGCAGTAGTGCGATGCCACGGCTGGGTAGAGTTGCAGCGGCGGCCGCGCGCTCGCTTGCCACAGCAGCAGCGAGCGGGGCGACACCAGCGGGGGCTCTGCCGCGCCAGCTGCCTGCCCCGGTGCGGCAGGGCAGCCAGTGCAGCTTCTTGGGAGGGCAATGCGCGCTGGCAACGGGACTGGCCACCCCCTTCCTCGCTCACAGAGGCGCCCGGGGCTTCCGCAGCACCACGACAATGGCTCTGAAGACCGGAATAGTTGGTTTACCGAACATCGGAAAGGTTGGCCGGGCCGCCGCCGCTGCCGCCGCCTGCCGTAGCTTGCCGCCACTCGCACAGAGCGCTGCCAGTTCCTCTGCCTCTCCCGTTGTCCACCACACCCCATCAAGCCACCGCCCTCCCAACCAGCACCTCACCTGCTTGAAACCAATCCCCGTATCGCCCTCGCTCGCTGTAGCACCAGTTGCCATGCGTTTGCCTGGCGCCACCCACCTGCCTCGCAGTCCACTATGTTCAACGCGCTCTGCGAGAACGCCAAGGCGCAGGCGGCCAACTTCCCGTTCTGCACCATCGAGCCAAACGTGGGCATCGTGGCGGTGCCAGACCCGCGGCTGCAGGAGCTGAGGTGGGCGGGCGCACGGGGCCTGCATTTGAACGTGTGCCGGAGGAGGCAGGCAATCGCTGTGCTTTGGATCAATGCGGCTGCGGGCTGTGGCTGGGTGGCTGCTCTGCCACAGAGCAGAGGCAGGTCGGTCGAGGCTGCCGCCGAGGCGTGGCCCCCATGGTTCCGCCGCCTGCCGCCTGCTGCTGACCCGCCTGCAGCAAGATTTCAGGCAGCGAGAAGATCATCCCCACCAGCGTGGAGTTTGTGGTGAGCGCGCAGGCAGCTGCCTGGCTGGCTGCGCGCCGCCGTGCAGCTGCCGCCTGGCTCAGGCAGCCAGCCAGGCGGGGCATGAAGCTCCGCGGCCGCCGCACACGTGGCACCCCGCCTCCACACCAGCCACGCGCATACTGACGCAGGCGTGTGCACACGCTGCGTCCCCCCCCCCCCGGCCGCGCAGGACATTGCGGGGCTGGTCAAGGGGGCCAGCAAGGGCGAGGGGCTGGGCAACCAGTTCCTGGCAAACATCCGGGAGTGCGACTCGATCGTGCAGGTGAGGCGGCGGAGGCGGCGGCGGCAAAGGCGGCGGCAAAGGCGGCGGGCCAGAAGCACATGTTGCCATGTTGCTGTGGCGGCGCTGGTGTGGGGGTGGGACGGATGGGCTGCGCGGCTGCGGGCTCGCTGAGAGGTGTGTGCAGGCAGAGGGGAGAGGGGCGGGTGAGGTGGGGCCAGCGCCTCGACGCTCCCCGGCTTGCCGCCTGCCCTGCCCTGACCTGACGCGACCTGCCCTGCTGCCCCCAGGTGGTGCGCTGCTTTGAGGATGGCGACGTGATCCATGTGGCGGGCAAGGTGGACCCTCTGGATGACACAGGTGGGCCCGATGCTAGGCTCCCTCGCTGCGCTGCGCTGGCTGGGCGGGCCTGGTCGGGCAAGGGTCTCTGCGGGGAGGCCAGGCCCCCCTGGGGGGCGTGCAGGAGAAGGGGCGGGACCCGCGCCCCACATCGGCGGGGCAGCGGCGCTCAGCAGGGGCGGGCCTGCGTGCATGTGGAGGCCCCCTTGCCGCCAGGGGAGCCGCCCCTGTGCGGAGCGGTGCAGGGGGGGCAGAATGCCGCCGCCTGCCTGCGCCTGCCTGCCTGCCTGCCTGCCTGCCTCCCCGCCTGCCTGCCTGCCTGCCTCTGCCCCGCCTGCCTGCCTCCATCCCCGCCTGCCCGCCCGCCTCTGCGCCACCTGCCCCGCAGACGTCATCAACTTTGAGCTGGCGCTGGCGGACATCACGCAGATTGAGAAGCGGCTGGAGCGGCTGAAGAAGACCAAGGGTGGGTGGGGCAGGGGCGGGGTGTGTGGGTGGGTGATGTGTGTGATGTGTGTGCGTGGTGGTGGTGGTGGTGGCAGGGTGGGGCTGGCCGTGGGTGGAGGAGCGTGGAACCCGCGCCCCCCGCGGCCGTGTGCTGTGCCGTACTGTTGCGGCGCGGCTTGCCGCTGGGCGCGCAGGCTGCCCAGCAGGGCGCCGCCGCTGCGCCTCTTGCGGCCGGGCCGGCGGCGCGCACTGCGCCGGCGCGCTCACCCCTCCCGCCCTGGCCCGCGCTGCCACGCCGCCGCACGCCGCAGGCAAGAGCGGCGAGGAGGCCAAACGGAATGAGGTGGAGGCGGGAGCCCTGCAGCGCATCATGGCGGCGCTGGAGCAGAACAAGCCCGCCCGCAGCGTGGCGCTGAGCGACGAGGAGGCGGAGCTGGGTGGGTGGGCGCGGCAGTGCAGGCGCTGCTTGTGGGGGGCCGGTTTTGGTGCGGGGACGGGGGGGTGGGAGCGGGCAGGGCGCGGGGTGGGAGAGCCGCGCGCGTGGCCCGCAGCAGGCATGCCATGTGCGCCTGCTGGGCCGGCGGCCCAGCAGGCCCGGCCGCCTGCCGTTGCCACCTGCCCCGGCCCACGCCCGCCTGGCCATCTGTCCCGCGCTGTACCGCTGCAGTACGGGGCCTGTACCTGCTGACCGCCAAGCCCATGGTGTATGCCGCCAACGTGGCGGAGGATGACCTGGCTGACCCCGGGGCCAACCGCCACGTGGCGGCGCTGCGCAGCAAGGCGGAGGAGGAGGGGCGCGGGGTGGTGGTGGTGTCGGCACAGGTGGAAGCCGAGCTGAATGAGCTGGACAGCGAGGAAGCTGCCGAGTACCTGGCGGGGCTCGGGGTGGAGGAGGGCGGCCTCAAGAGCCTCATCAGGTGCGGCGCGCGCGGGGCGGCAGAGGCGGCAGCCGCCCGGCCTGCCTGCAAGCCTCCACCCAACCGTCCACACCCTCCCTCCACCTGCCGCGACGCACAGGCGCGCTCTGCTTGCCGACGCGTGCTGACCAACCCTGTTACTGTCTGCTGCTGCTTCCCCGCAGGTGCACGTACCAGCAGCTGGGCCTGCTCACCTACTTCACCACGGGGGAGAAGGAGACGCGGGCGTGGACCATCCACGAGGGCTACACCGCGCCGCAGGCCGCGGGCGTCATCCACACGGGTGCGGCGCTGGCTGGGGCGGCTGACCGCTCCCCTCCCTCCCTCCCATGCCTGCTGGCCGGGCCGGCTCGCACCTGCGCCCGCCGGCGCTGCGGCTCTCCCGCTGAGTGCATGCCGCCGCCTGCTGCCCTCGCGACGGTGCCGTACAAGCCGTCTCGGAACAGCCTGACGCTCACCGCGCCCTGCCCCCGCCCTGCTTGTCTGCACACCGCAGACTTTGAGAAGGGCTTCATCCGCGCCGAGACGGTGGCCTACGACGACTTTGTGGCGGCGGGCGGCTTTGGGGCGGCCAAGGAGAAAGGGCTGCTGCGGCTGGAGGGCAAGGAGTATGTGGTGAAGGAGGGGGACATCCTCATGTTCCGCTTCGCCACCTGAGGCTGAGGGGGGTTGCTGCAGTGCATTGTGGGCGGCAGCCGCATGCCGCACGCCCCGCCTCGCCAGCCGACCTTATTTTTTGCACCTTGAGCTTGCCGCGCATCGGGCAAAGCCTGGGGAGCCTCCTTTTGCTGCACTGCCTATTGTCACGCCATTTTGTGCGGCAAACTTGAAACTGGAATTGAGCGCCACGGGCGGGTGACGGCAGCGGCGGCGGTTGGCGGTGCGGGGCGCAGCGCCGGCGCGCCGGCCTCACTGCAGGGACAGCTGCCAGGGCGGGTACCTGGCCGCCTCTGGCCACAGCCTGCTGAAGACGGTCTGGGAGGCGGGCAGGAAGCGGAAGGAGAGCGCGGGCCGCTGCTGCATCGCCTGCTTTGCTGCCTGGAATTGCCGCCACCACACCCACTTCTATCGCCGCCACCTGCCGACACCTGCCGCCCGCCACTTCTATTTTAAGTGAGACCTCACAAGAAACGTCCGGTTTGCCTAGGCAGCATGCAGTGCGACTCTGTCTACACTCCACCCCGCCCCCAGTATCGCTGTCGCTTGGTCCGCCCGCCGCTACCGGCGCTTGGCCTTGTGCGTGGCTCGAAAGGGCTGCGGCGTGGCCGCCATGTGCAGCGCCAGCGTCAGAGGCACCAGCAGGTAGGGCAGGTAGAAAGAAGTGACCACCACAGCGTTGTATCCGGGGGCTGCAGCCAGCGGGACGGCGGGGGCGTGCTCAGCGGGGCAGCACAGCTGGGACGCAGCAGGACTGGGCTCCCCGCGCTGGCAGCAGGAGCGTGCCCACCCGTGTGCGCCGCCAGCTCAGCAAGGATGGGCAGCATGGTGGCGGTGACAAAGCTGCCGTAGAGGATGGCGGGGATGCGGATCCAGTTGGCCCTGGCTGCACGCGCAGGCGCACACAACAGAGAGGTGAGGCCGGGTGGAGCTGGCGCTGCAGCACATCCTATCGGATCATGGAAGCAGGAGCAGGGCGGCCCGCCAAGGTCAGCAGGCTGCCGTGCCCCGCCGGCTGTGCGAGAGGAGGGGAGTGCGGCGGGGCAGGCCGCTCTCACCCAGGAAGGCGTGGCTGGCAAGGAAGAAGAAGGGTAGCTGAAGGGCCAGCTCAGAGTAGACCAGCGACTTGAACCAGGTGGGCAGCCCCATCATCTGCGCAGCAGGACAGGCGCGGTTGCGGCGCGCAGGCAAAGGCGCAGAAGGGCGGGGCAGCCTGCGTGTGCTGCGTGCGCGTTGGTGCTGGGTGGGTGGCGATGGCGGTGGCGGCGGACCGTGCAAGGCCAGCAGGAGGGCGAGCAAGCTGGCGGTCGCAAGGGCGACAGCCAGCCGGCAGCAGCATCTGTGGGCCGGAACGCTCGAGGCAGGCGCAGGCCATGGCAGCAGCTCCCGGGCTGGCCAGCCCAGCGGGGCGGCCCAGCGGGCGGTACCGCCGCATCTCCTCCCTCATTCCTCCCTCACCAGTGGGTCCTGGTGTGTCTTGAAGTACCACGCCTGCATGTCCTTGGCCGCCTGCGGGAACCATGCCGCCGGCAGCACTGCAGCCAGGAGGCGGAGGCAGCGGCGCGGCTGGGGCTCGCTGGGCCAGCGGCGCACGCGCGGTGCAGGGGCAGCGCAGGGAAGAGGTGAATGGACAGACCTGCCTGGCTGTCCACGAAGAGGGTGATGGGGATGTGGGTGAGGAAGAAGATGAGATACAGGTAGTACAGGGCGGCGTTCATGGCAAAGTTTGGCCTGCAGGCGGCACGAGGTGGCGGCGGCGGCCGATGAAATGCGGGTGGGGCGCGCCGGCTGGTCAGCGGGCCCGCCTGCGATCCAAAAAGTTGTGCATTCAGCTGCGCAGACAGGACACCAGGTAAGCAGTTACTGACTGAAGGGATGGAGCGAATGCGATCAGGAGGATGGCGGCACAGCTCCACACGACTCTATCAGTATCGGTGGCCGCGATCCGGGTTGGAACTATTGGTGTGCTCAGAGAGGCGGCCAGCGGCAGTACTCCCGCCGCCGCCCGCATGGCGGGATTGCGTTTGGAAAACAACACACAGAAGCCTTTGTCCGAGGCAAGTTCCCGGTGACCCTCCACTGATACTGAAACTATTACATGTCTTTCACATGGCAAAGCGAAACCAGAAACCCTGTGCCTTGAGCATGCCTCTGGCATCGCCGACAACGTCGCCTGCCGGCATGGTTCTGTGATCAGGGTGCTCTGCAATCCCTCTTGTGCACCCTCCAGTGCGCCCGGTGGCATGCCTCGCTGCAGTACTGTGCCGCCTTGCACCGGCCGCAGCGCCGCAAGCCCACAGCATACTGGCCGCAGCCGGAGCAGAGGACGGTGGCATTGGAGGATGTGGCGTGTTCGCGAACCACTGCCTCAACCGCTGCATCAATGCTGCTCCTCAGCGCGGCTTTTGCCGCCGCCACCTGGGCAGCGCTGCTGCCGCTGGCCTGCTCTTTGTGCACGCGCAGCTCTGCTTGCAGTGCTGCCAGCGTGGGCTGGGACAAGTGCTCCACCCCCTCAATCACGTGCACCCAGGCGTGGGGCAGCACAGGCTTGCAGCGCCTCACCGCTGGCCCTGCCGCCTCGCCGACTTCCACCAGCAACTGCAGGAAGTCCACTGCGATGTAGCGGGTGTCAGACAGCACCGATGGGGCTAGAATCACAGCGCGTACACCACACACCACTTCAAAGTAGTCGCTGCGCTGGCGGCGGGCCAGCTGCACGCCCCGCAGGAGAAGGTTCATCGCACGGTGCTTCAGAGCTGCGCCGTCACTGTTGCTGAGGTTGCTCAGTTTTAGAATGCCAAGAGCTGCCAGATCCAGCGCCTTGGGGTTGGACGGCTCCAGCTGCAGCAGCGCCTCAACGGCGGCAGTGATGGCCTGCTGCACCTCTGCCCGCTGTGCTGAAAAAAGGTGCTCTTTTCTCATGCCATGGCGTTCCCTAAACCCCGGATCAACCTGCGCAGGCAATCGCGCCTCGGTTGATCCAACAAGTTCAAGCCCCTTGAAAGCGTTGTGGGCCTAGTCAAGGAGGCGGCGCATCATGCAGATGCACCTGCAGGGCAGGAGGTTGCAGCAGGGCGGATGCAGCCAGCACCAACCTGGGCCACCAGCACGCCAGTGCCGTAGTGCAGCGCCAGGGTCCACAGGGTGAACTGAACTTGCTGCACAGTGGGAAGGTCGGTCCCAGCCGGTGCCCCCGCTGCCAGCTCGTCAATCCGTGCCGCTGCAGCCCGCCGGTGTTCCGGGTCAGCCAGCTTAATGGCGCCCTTGCTGCACAGCATCGCAGCCGCTCTGCAGGCTCCCGCCGCCCGTCTGGCCACAAACTGGCTAACTGCCTCTGCCAGCGAGCCGCCGTTGCCCAGCGGCTCGGCAGCCAGGTAGGCTGCTAGTGGCGAGATGAAGTCTAAATTGCCAGCGGGCTTTGCTGGAAGCAGGCTCAGATACTCTGCGCGAATTGCCAGCAGGCCTGCCAGCAACACCCGGTGCTGCCGGTTGCGGCTGGGGGGCAGCGCCACGCTTACGCCATCGCTCTTCATCGGAATCAACTCGAGCACTTGACGCTGCAGGGAGACAGACTTGACAAAGACGGCGACATCGCTGCTGCGCTCTGCCTCAGGGATGGCCTGCGCGCGCTGCAGCCTCCACTCAAAGAATGCCAGTCCATGATCGCCCGCCATGCCTGCGGGGAGAGGACGGAAACTGAAGCCCAGCGTCGGCGGCGGCGGGATGGTGCTACGCATGCACTAGGCGTCCAAGCGCGCCGTGCGGGCGCGCCAGCCTCGCATGCAGCACACCTGCGTTCACGGGAGCGAGGGGTGAAGCAGCTCCGTGTTGCGAGGAGGAGCCGAGCAGGCTCTTGGACAGAGCGTGTCCGATGGCTTGCTACAGCTCAAATCAGGTCAACAGTGTTCTCTACACGCATGCGATTCACCCGAGGGAGCGCAAAAAGATGAGGGGGACGACTGCCCCCCTGGCACTGTGGCTGCCTGCAGGGTTTGTTGGCCCCTGCTGGGCCTGCAGACAGCATAGATTTTCGTCGCAATGCATGCAGCTGCCGCCACAGCACACGACAAGAACATGCCTCGCCAGGCAGCCCCCTCGCTTGCCGTGCTATCCCCGGGCAGCGCAGCGTTGAGCTCAATACCCAGGAGAATACGCAGCTGCAGCCGGCCCAGCCGGCGACGACCCTGGCAGCGGGCCCCGCCGCCGGCTGCTGTGCCGCCGGTGGCGGCGGCGGCAGCGGCGGAGCAGCAAGTGCCAGAGGTGCCGCGGCTGGATGCTGAGCTAGATGACCGGCTGTCTGGGCGCCCGCTGTCCCTGGATGCAGCAGGCTACTTCATCATCCAAGTCGATCCAGGCAGCCGGGAGCTGGTGCGCTGCCTGCGCGCATGTGCACTGTGCCCTCGTTGCCAGCGTGCTCCGCCACAGCACCCGTGACTACTCTGCCTGCCCGCCCTCCCTTGCATCCCAGGTGGCGGAATTTTACACCAACGTCATCAACGAGCAAGGTGAAGGACGGCGGCGGCCGCAGCCTGCCGGCGCTCTCCTGTTCTTTCTTGCTACGAGCAGACGTCGCCGTGGAGGCTCATCCACGCTGCCGCCCCCGCGTCCGCTCCTTTCACCCCTGCAGGCCTGGCCTGCGACCCCGCCACCGGTGAGGTCATCTCCTGCAAGCCCGGCGCCGCGCGCCTGCCCGCGCGCACCTGGCGCGGCCGCACCGCCAAGCAGCTGAGCGTGCAGATTCTGGAGGCCGACCACGGCTTCCGCCCCGTCACCCACCTGGAGCACGCAAATTACCTGGGCCGCGAGCTGCAGCGCGCCGAGTTTGCGCTGCTCACGGGGCAGCGCTACGTGCAGGACTGAGGCGGGCGGCGGCGGCGGCGGCGGCACCGGCCGGCGGTCAGCAGCTTGCCCTGCTCCGTACCCGCCCGCTTCTTTCGCTTTGCAGCGGCGCCTACATCTGCAGTGATTGTTTTTGGTTCCCATGTATCATGTATAATACTCTGTTTGACACACGGCATTGAACTTGAGAATGTGGCAGGCCGGCAGCATTGCTCTTCCCGGAGGCGGCAACATGGGGAATGAGGAAAGCCGGCGGGCCACCCTTCTTCTGGCCTCTTTCCCTTGCTTCTGTCTTCCCTTGGTGAAAGCGCAGGGAGTTGGGCGCTGGGTGGGGACACGGAAGCGATCAAAGTGCTCACGATTGATCGGCGTGCTGCACACGCTGTCCTCCGCCCTGATAGAGGCAGTAGGCAGCTGGCCGAGACGCCCGCCCGCCGGCGGCAGGCGGCAACCCAAGGGCGGCAGGCGGCGGGCGGTGGCAGCAGGCGGCGGGCGGGTGCGGCGCTCCCTGCACCATGGGGGTCTTCAGCCGCAAGAAGTCGAAGAAGAAGCAGCAGGCGCAGGCCGCCTCGCGGGCGCCTGTGCCTGCCGGCAGCGACTCTGACATCTCCCTGATGACAGACAGCGACCTGGAGGAGGAGCGAGCCGCGCTGCACGCTGAGCTGAACAAGCCGCGCCTCTCCGCCAGCGGGCTGCCTGCGGCGGCCGACCCGTTCGAGCAGGCATCCCTGTGGGCAGAGGCAAGCGGCCCGCACGCGCGCCGCTGCCGCATCCCGCCGACCCGCCGCCGCCTGCCGCCGCTGTGCCCGCTCGCTGGCCTCCTTCTTTTTCTGGCCATGCTTGGGCTATGCCAAAGCTGTTGTCCCCAGCCTGCCCTCGCGCTCTCACCCTCCCCACCCCACACACGCCCAGCAGGTGGACCGCGACGAGCTGGAGCGCATCGCTCTCAACATCGCCCGCAACGCGCTGCCCGCCAGCGCCAGCGGCGAGGGCGCCGAGGCGGCGGCGCGCCTCAACGCCACCGCCGCCGCCGCGGAGAAGGCGGAGGTGCACGATTCCACAGACCCGCTGGGCTACGGCCGCATTGACACGCGCCTGCTGACGCTGGTGGGTCGGCGGGGAGGGGAGAGCGGGCAGGTGAATGTGCACCGCAGGGTGCCTGCCAGCTCAGCCTGATGCTGCCGCTGTATGCTGCCGCTGTGCTTGCGCATGGCGCCACGCTGCGTGCTGCTGCAACTGGCCCGAGGAGCGGGTGCGTGCGCTGCGCCGCTCCGGCTGCCGCAGGTTCGGGACGGGGGCCCCGGCGCGCGGCAGCCGCCCCGCTACAGCGCCGCCACCGCCGCGGGGCTGCTGGATGCGGCGCGGCGCGGCGCGCTGGCGGGGCGCGGCCGCGGCGCCGGCGCCGGCGGCGAGCTGGCGGAGGCGCCGCCGGCGCTGCGGGCCAGGGTGCTGCCTGGCGGCGAGAACTTCGATGCCGAGCTGTACCTGGGAACCATACACAGGGTGAGAGGAGAGGAGAGGCGCGGGGGGCAGGAGCGCACTGCCTTTCAAGGAGGCTGTGGCAGGCGGTGTGCGCTGTGTGCGATGCTCCCGGCCGCGGGCCTCGCCACCTGCCTGCGCCCTGCTGCCACCCTCAGCCTCCCCGCTGTCACCCCTACCTGCCTTGGCCCGACGCCCTGCCCTGACGCCTCGCCGCCGCCCCGGCGGGCCTCCGCCCCGCAGGACACCAGCCTGGCGGACCTGCAGCGCGGCCTGCTGGCGCTGCGCCAGCAGCTCAGCGAGCACACGGGGCAGCTCAAGTCTCTGGTGAAGGAGAACTTTGACCGCTTCACCTCCTCCAAAAACACGATCGACACGGTGTATGCCAAGCTGCAGCGGGCGGAGGCGGAGGGGGAGGCGGGGGTGCACGGCGCCAGCACGGGCGAGGTGCTAGAGGCGGTGCTGCAGGTGGGTGGGTGGGTGGTGGTTTGAGGGGGTGCAAGGGGGTGGTGATGGTGCTAGGGGTGCGTGGTGGTGGTGCTGGTGGGGTTGAGGTGGTGGTGGTGGTGGTGGTGGTCCAGGTGGTGGCGGCGGTGCAGGTGCAGGTGCAGGTGGTGGTGGTGCAGGTGGTGGCGGTGGTGCCGGCATGGGCATGGCTGCCAGAGGCATGGTGGCGATTTGCTTGTGGTGTGTGGCATGCGCCTGTGTCTCGTGCCTGTCGGCCAGGCGTGCTTGCCACGGGCTGCTGCCGCCGCGCGTGCTCTCCCCGCTCACTCCCGCCGCCGCCGCCGCCGCCGCTGCCCTGCCCAGGTGCAAGGCGAGGCGCGGCACGCCTTTGGGCCGCTGCTGGAGCGGGCTGCCAAGGCGGAGCGCATCCGGCTGGTGCTGGGGGTGATGCGGCGGTACGAGGCCATCGTACAGCTGCCCTCGCGTGTGCGCCAGCATGCAGAGGCGGGAGACTATGAACAGGTGGGGGTGGGGTGGCTGGGCGGGACGGGCGGGACAGGGCGGTACAGGGCTGCACTATGGTTTCTGTGGCTGGGGTGTGTTGTAGCTGGCAAGGCCTGGGCAAAGGCGGGGCACGGGCCGGGCGGTGGTGGGGACAGGCACTGCGCCTTCCTTTCTTTCCGTACGGCACTCCTGCTTCCCTGGTATACCTCCCGTACTGCTGTACCGCATGTACCACTGTACCGCAGGTGGTGGCCGACTACCGCAAGGCCAAGGCGCTGCTGGGGGAGCCGGAGGGCGCCTCCTCCTCACCTGCCTCCGCGCCGCCGGGTGCCCAGCAGCAGCCCGGGGGCGCCGCGGGCGGCGGCGGCGGCAGCATGTGGGTCAAACTGATGGATGAGATCGACAAGGTGCGAGGCGGCGGCGCGGCGGCCGCGGCGGCGGCTGCGGCGGCGGACTGGCGGGGCCGTGTGTTTGGGCAGCGCGGGTGGTCGTGCGCCGCCCTCGGGGGCCTCTGCGCCCGCTCGGCCTGCCTGTCTGTCTTGTCTGTTGCACTCATAAGGAGCAAGTGGCTGCTACGGGGCCCAGCTGTGGCGCTGCTCCTCCCAACCCCACACCGCGCCGCGTCGTCCCGGCCCTGGCCCGGCCCCTGACCCCACCCCTTCCACCCGCACCGCAGGTGGTCAGCTCCGTCGCCCACTCCCTAGATACCGTGGTTCGCTCCGCAGCCAGCAGCCCAGGAGAGGCGGCCGACGCGGCGCGGCACATCCTGCAGCTGAGGGCGGTGGGGGCGCCCGCGGCGCAGCGCATGGACCCCGTGGGGTGAGCCGTGGGTGTGGGCGTGTGTGGGGGGGGTGCTAGGGGGTGTGGCCTGGGCTGTGCTGCGATGTGGGCTGCGCTGCGCTGGGCTGTGTGCTGAGCTGCGCTGCGCTGGGCTGTGCTGGGCTGTGTGCTGTGCTGCGCTGCGCTGGGCTGCGCTGGGCTGCGCTGCGCTGGACTGGGCTGTGCAATGCGGTGCTGTGCGTGTGTTGTGGTGGTGGCTGGAAGGGTTGCCTGGAGCAGCCGACACAGCCTGCTGCCGGCACTCCATCACACCACAACCCGCGCCACCCCCGGCCCACGCATCCACACACTCACCCAACACACACACACACACACGCTGGCCACCGCCTCCCACCTGCAGGCTGTATGTGGAGTCTCAGGAGCGGCATGTGCGGGCGATGCTGGAGGGCGCGCAGCAGCAGCGCGACGCCCGCCTGGTCGCGCTGCGCCGCCAGCAGCAGGCCAGCGCAGACAGCGAGGTGGGCCGCCGGGCTGCCGCCGCCGCCACCCCAGGCCGCCGCCGCCGCCCCTCGTGCCTCTGTGCTGTGCGGAGCGCCCTTGCGCGTTGCAGCGTGCTCAGCGCTGCGAGGCTGCCGGCCAGCCCTCAACCTGCTGCTGCACCCGCGCTGCTGCCTGCGCAGGCGCAGGCGGCGTCTCTGGCCGGCCTGGGCGTCGGCTCCGGCGGCGGCGCCTCCCCCGCCGCCTCGGCGCCCGCCTCTGCGGCCGCCACGCCACGCCCCCGCAGCGGCGAGGCGCTGGCCGGTGCCGTGGAGGCTGCTGCGGTGGGCTATGTGGCGCGTATCACTGCCGGCATGTGCCAGTGGCTTCCAGAATACTGGGCCCTCACGCAGCATCGGCTGCCGGCGCTGGCGGCGATCGGCGACGCGGCGGCGGCGGTGGAGCGCGGCATGGCGGCGGCGGAGCGCAGCGTGGCGGCGCTGCTGTCGCTGTACCGCTCCGCGGTACTGGCGGTACTGTCCGACCCCGCCGCCGCGGGCCTCACCCACACCGGCCTGCTCAGCGTCGCCGCGGAGCTCGCCAACGGCTGCCAGGCGCTGCAGGCGCCCGCCGCGGGCGGCGCCGCGCCCGCTGCCGCCCCTCCAGCCGCCCTCGACTGCTTGCAGCGGCTGGCGGAGCGGGCCATCCTCGCCAGCCTGGCGCATCTCAGCGCCCACCTGGCGGCCGCCGTGGCGCAGCTGTGTGCAGCGGAAGACTTCAGGCTGACTCCCGCCAGCCGGCGCGCGGGCGCCCCCGCCACCGCCTCCCTGCCCGCCCTGCAGCGCCTGGTGCAGCACGGAATGGCGCACCTGGCGGCAGCGCTTGCGGAGGGCGGCCGCGCGGGGGCTGACCCGCTGCGCGTCTCGCCCGCCCC